TACAAAGACAAAGAAATTTACCTTAATTTTATCAACCGCTTTAAGAAGGTATTCTTATTTATTAAATGTTTTCTTTATTTTACATCAAAGAAATTACGAGATCTAAAGGAACAATAACAGCAAGGTACCGAATCTAATGTTCATTTGAACAAGGTCCATGTTTACCGCCAGCTTTACAAGTTGTAAACATGGAATTCAATCCTGGAGCATCGTTTTTTGGCTCCAAAACAGATTATGTAAATATAAAATGTCTTATCTAATTTATCATTTAAACTGCAAATTATTTTGTTTTTAGTTAATAATTTTAATTAATTCTATATGTAGCCACATGACCTGCAGAAACTTGAAATTACTTAACTAGCCGTAATTTGGATTACGTATTTGTTCGTTCAGTTAACACAATAGAGCTGGCAAAACTAAAATTAGACGCAACTGATAATAAACAGACGGAGGAATCGGATCCCAGCTAAATTGGCTTTATCAACATCTTATTATAGAGGCCCCGTCCCTCTACTGCGAGGCTAGCGCGTTTACACCATCGGAGCGCGCAAACCGCTAATTGTGTTCCATGTTTATACACAACTTCAATTCTCTCCATTTCGCAGGAAGCCCTCGCATTTCAACGCACCCGACGTTATTCGCAACCATTTACAAGCTTCGATAGCGATACTGATGTAATTGTTGGATAGATAGGTTTCCCGCACAATACGTATAGTCGACGTGTTCAAGTGAATCTTGTTGCATTTTGCATAAAATCGATACTCATGAATGACCAGCACGATACGAAGCTAGCGGGAAACCGCTGGAGATTCGATAACTATATTTCTCTGCAATCGGTTTTATGTATTAAAGGTATAGATTAATATTGGAATGCCTTAATAATAATAGTCAGTGAACGATTTGGAAAATGGTGATTATGATAATATTCTCTACAGAATAACTGGAATAAACTTAGTCTCCGTATGTTTTCATACCAAATAATGAAGTATAGTTAGTTATTCTTTATAATGATTTAGTTGAAGTATTCAAGATTAGGTCGAAGCAGACCTATAGATACATCACATCTAATACCTATAGCCAAAACAGATCACAAGTTATTTACAGAATAATTCAACTGTATAAAAAATCAGATGTATTAAAAAGTACAGAAAGTATATGTTTAAAAATGAAGACTCATAGAACTAAGTTCTCTCTACTTACGCTGAAGCTCGAAAATTTAAACTACAACAGAACAAGAGTGAGTAGAATATTTTCAGCACACCGCGTAAATGTGTTATCAACATAATAGAAACACTTAACACCAGCTATTTAGAGAAGAGGCATATTGTTACTGGATTGGGTTCATTACTTAATATACTAACGTGTTAATAATGTGCCAAGTTGGTGTTGATGAAGCAATGAGATTACGCTGGGACACTTGAAATATGATTACGAGCGGTCGGCTCATCAGGCCATAAGTGTTTACGGATGCACGTGACAGGCCGACTGTCCGCTGGCCGCGTATTTACCTAATTGGTACTGTACGTTGTGACAAAAGTCCGCACTGAGCGTGGAGTAAATTAGATTTGGCGTTCACCCTCGCTCACTCGTGCCCGGGACGCTCGCTTCTGGTTGTACTCACTTTACTTACCTCTTTCACCCTAAATTGACTTTTCTCTAATTGAAAACGTGTCAAAGTCCCGTTGCGATTATTCTTTGTATTTATATTGATGCAATCAAATGATCAATCAAATGAAACGTTTGCAGCCAAGCGTTATATTCAATTTGTCAGATGATTGTTTCAATATAATATGAAATAGCAATTGTTTATAGTTAACAATTATTGGTTATAATTAAATAGCTAGATATATATGTACAAAATACCAAGGTAAAAGTACATATGGCGGACTTAACGCCTTACGGCATTTTCTACCAGTCTATCACAGGTTGTCCAGAGAAACTGTAGGCGGTGCAAATGTAATCAACAAGAAAAATAATACCTATGTTATAAATATTACTAAAAGTTTATTATTAGTTTATATTAGTTATTTGTATATGAATGTATACATGTACTTACATGTATACATTCATATACAAATACATACAATATATATAAAGCTATAGATAAATATTAATAAAATACATACACAATGAATAAAATATAACTAAACTTTCCTCTTCAATCACTCTTTCTACTAAAAAAACCGCTTCAAAATCCGTTGCGTAGTTTTAAAGATTTAAGCATACATAGGGACGAACAGACAGCGACTGCGACTTTGTTTTATACTATATAATAATGATAATACATACCTGTCTGTTTATTTCACATATATGAACCAATGCTATTTCGTTTTTACACTTTTTTAAACCTACTTTTTAATTATTATAATTCTTAATTTGAATTCTTAATCATCTGTATATCTATATCCTGAGAATAAAAAGGAGTAACGAGATATTTTACTCCTATTCTTACTCCATTACGACCGTCAGTAATGCGGGGCATTGCGTGTATCTTGACACGACCCTGAATAAAACAAGTTTTAACTAATTTTAATAATAACAAATATTCTTATCATTTGTTATTATTTTGATGGTTTTTTAATAACGGCTTGTATGTTAAATACACGAACTACACCAAACATTTTTGCATAATTATTTTACAATAATACATCAACATAAACGTACCACAACACCTATACCTAACATATTTTTCGTTGCTGATAGCAGAACCTGAAAAAATAATGGAGAAATTAGATAGTAAAGTTCCTGAGCACACTCTTTAAATTGTAGAAGCATTCTAGAGAACACAGAAAGGTGCGCAATTACGGCCCGTTATTTTAGACTTTAAAGTTTGATTTACAGACAGATATTACATATTTAACTACAATACATTTGAAAATCTATCAGGCTATCCAATGAATATTTAAAACTCAATATTACATTTTATGTACTCTTTTTATTTACACTACGAACTCTATCAAGAACTCTGCTGAATATTCTACTGCATCAAATCTCGGCATTTACCTTGATTTGTCTATAATTTTCCTAGGACCTATAAATCTTGCAATGAAATTCCAAATACAGTCTGTACGTTTTTGTATTTAATAGAAGAAGTTTATTTCGGATTAAGGGAGACATTTTGTGAACCATCTATCTTGCGAGGATATTAGAAACAACATTTTCCGATTGTTTATATGTGCCCGGTAAGCTCTTCTTTCATTAGAGACGGAGACGCTTGTAGTCTCCCCCCCCCCCCCCCCCCCCTCAGCCCTCACCTCCGTGCCGCGCTGCCAAGATTGATGGGCGCGCGATGGATTTGTTCTATTCGCGTTCTCACTCATCAATCATTCGCGGATATTTTTCCGTGTCTCAGGTTGTTTAGCCTAAATAGATTGTTGCAGGCCTTGGAGCATCGTTTACGTCGACATGTGTACCACATTATTATAGATAATCAAGGAGACCTTTGATACTTATTGATGTAGATACAGCCGTAAAAAGTAGGTCACGAATCGATAACAATTTTGTACCTTAATTGAGACATTATATAACAAAAACTGTATCTAATTGTTCCATCGTCGTTACCGACCACAAAAGTACTAAAGATGATAACATCGCTTACTTTCCGCTAAACAGTGAAGTAATTAACCGTTAATGGACATTTTATGGAACAATAGAAATGATTAAAATTGACACTTTACGAATTGAGATTTTCTGTAACTTAATTACAGTGATTATTATATTTTAATTAATAAAAATCTGTATTTATTTAAAAAAAGAGACTACTTATCTACCGGAGTATATACTGTATAACAATTTAATCACATCTTATAATATTACGTTATCGATGCTTTAATAAACAATAAACTATACTTTGAGTGCCCTTTTTGTATTTGCTATTACTTATACCTACAAAACTACAAATTTTAAACCACATAAATACCTATTTACCACATAAACACATTTTGGATATTACGCTTTATTATAATAAAATAAAATAATTATTATATTAAGAATAATAGGCGATGTTTTTACAAACTACACAGATAATGTTGTATCAAAACTATTCGGTAATAGGTATTTAACAATATATAATATAAATAATTCAATAATGCTACGTACCATACTACCGACTATATAAATGTGTTTACTATTAGTTAGCATATGAATACCTCCATGAAACATCTAATATTCCTATCCTAAAATGTGAGGCAAATAAATGGTTTGAAACAATGTAAGCCGTTATTCTCTCAAATATATCTCAACAGTACAGGTACGCTTACAAACTACGATCAGGTTGAACTGAACTGAAATGACCGGTGCCAGTTATAGCGCCGATACAACAGCGCCGAACGTTCCGAGAGTGAATAAATAACCACCTACCCTTTGAAGCAATTGCCAGTGAACCGAATCATCGCTGACGAATCGATAAACATCTCAAATAGAAACTACTCGGATAGACATCGTTAAATGAACAAATTCTACAAAATTTACTGAGCTACAGCTATGATGTTATAAGAGTAATATTACTTTTTTTCTGATGGGTCTGTACCGTCATATTAATTAGTAGTCACGCGTATTTCTGTTGTCCAAATTGCCAATCTTTATTGGACGGAATTTTATTACTGTTTCTTTTATCGAATTAAAGTAGTGAAATTGCCAAGTTTGCTAATCAAGTTGAAATGTAGAACACATTTCAGTCGCTCCTATATCGTGCCGTAATAGGAACAAACCTGAGAAGGTGACTGATACCATATATGTACATGTCGAGTCGAGTCCCTTTGGGTATCGTAATTAAATGCCCATTTAGATGAATATTATTTCATGTAGCTAAAATCAACACCCACTATTAGATAGACGAGTAAGCAAGACGTTCCTAAATCAACAGGAAGGACCCTTATGCCGGTCGACTTCGTTCGTTTTGAGGTTACGATTACGACGAAATAGCTCAAAGCTAGTCACGCGCCAAGCATAAGTAAAAAGGTGAAAAAAAGTGGATACTTAGCATTCAATGTTTGTTTCAGAATCCTTATTCCCCCGTTTCGTGGAACCGGTTCCAAACGTCACAGTGACTGTAGGCCGTGACGCACTCCTTGCCTGCGTCGTGGAGGATTTGCGCGGATATAAGGTAAGTATAAATTGAGCCGTCATGATTATCTTGAATTGGTATATATGAAATTGGAATTTTGTTCATAAACCTGGAAATGCGGTACGTTCGGATAGAAAAATTGAAAATCCCAATGTATTACGTACTATCCAGAACGAATTCAATAGAATAGAATCCGATTTAAATGGGATTCCATTTTGAAAATTTTTAATCTACTGATATTTCGTTCATACAACATTATGAGACCTTTTCTTGCTACTAGAATGCCAATAACGGTTTACCTGATGAAAACTGGTGTATCATCACTTTTAAATATGAAAATCCCCTGTTCGTCGCCTAATTTACAGTAATTCCTTTATTTTATAACATTAATGTCTAGTATTAACTTATACTAACAGCTACTACTTCATATTACTTATGTACTAAGTAATATAATTAATTTATAAGTAAAGTGATATAAATTATTATCAGATAATGTATCAGATCAGATAAGCATATTAATAAAATTACCGTTATTAAATCCACAAAGTTGACACATCATAATTATCTCATGATGAATGAGCACACAGTCTAATTCTATAAACGGATACGTAGCACCCGGAACTTCATGCAACTTCATTGCAGTGCACGGGTTAAAGTTTTAACAAGCCAACTTAATATCACTTTGCTCAGAATGCACGATTCGCCCGTTATTAATCATGCAGGACGGCTAGTTAGCAAAATTGGAGTGCCGTACAGTGTGGTGAGATTTATGCGGGATAACGCAGAATTTAGTGTTGCAGGTGATATTATTTTTTACTACACAGGTAGCATGGGTGAGGGTGGACACACAGACAATTCTGAGTATCCACCACAATATAATAACACAGAACCCGCGTATCAGCCTGTCGTACAACGACCACCGCTCCTGGTACCTTCACATCAAGAACGTGCAAGAAGTGGACCGCGGCTGGTACATGTGTCAAGTGAACACAGATCCTATGCGCTCCAGAAAAGGATATCTACAAGTCGTGGGTTAGTATAAACCAAATTAGCTTCTTGAGAATTTAGGTCTACATATTAATATCTACTTAGTTTTTTGCAAGTCTCACACTCTCTCATACATTTATTTTTGTCAAATACTACTAATAGCAGTTCAGAACTCATAAAATTATTTCAATTCAACTTAAAAATCATAGAACCAGTTTATATTACTTCTTAAATATTTATATTAATAAGATTGACATACTCCTACGACCAGATCTACAAAACATTTTCAAAGGTAATAATGAAGACCTATTGATTGTTAATTTATAAACTGTAACGGAAGTTAATATTACACAAAAATACTTTTTGTTAAGGTGTGTGTATATAAGTCTTTTGTTATTTAAAATTCCCAAATATTTTTTCTCGGCGTCTCCAGTTCGTTATGTTCACTGAAGTCCGTAATATATGTAATGTAACACGACTTCTGCGTACGATCGCAATACGAACATTACAAATTATTTGCACCTAACGCTACCGACGCTCGCGCTGACGCAACGACTCTCATATTAATGCGAATTCAAAAGCACTTGCAGTGCTCATTTGCTATTTGCCTATGCAGTAGTGCTGTTTGCGTTGGATTAAACGATACATTACATTTCGGTCAACATACATATGTCTGAATGCGGCATAACGGACAACGAGGGAATAAACCGTTCAAATAAAAAAATATAAGAGAGAAATATGGCATATATAAATTTATAATTTTGGTACAAACTTGTAAAATATATAAATATTTGTATACGTAATTACATTAACAAATAATTATGTGTTTCTAAATACAGATTAAATTTATTTTTTGTATATATTATTGTAACCAAATATTTATTACCTACATTTTTGAATAGAATAGAATAGAAAATCATTTTTTCAAATAAACTTAGATTAAGCACTTTTGAATAGTCATAACAATTTTTTTTATCTACCGCTCGTTTGGAAAGCTGTCTCATCACAAGAAGAACGAGCAAGAAACTTGTGTGTTGCTCTTTTAAATTTAATTTGTATAAATCAAGGATACACAGATAAAGTTTTCGTAACTATAATAAATAAATAAATTATCACAGGACAATATACACAGTGCCATCTAGACCCAAATTAAGCTACCTAAAGCGTGTGTTATGGGTACTAGACAACTATGTATATACACAATATTAATTAACTAATCATAAATTTACTATTCATTTTAGTTACAAAATATTTGTAATTCTATGCCCTGGGTAGATATAGAAACTACTAACAACTATGTCAAATTTCATATATAAATTACTAAGAAAAATGTAGTAGTAATTTGCTACAAGACTATCATTTTTATATTTGCGATACGGAAATTCAATAGAAATATATAAATAAAATTGAAGTGTCTATTTGTAATATTGAAATAACCGTTTTTTACTACATGCATAAGAATGTAAATACGGTACATACAACAAAATTTAATTTTTTACAATTTTTGTCTGTCTGTTTGTAATATATTCTAATCTCTGAAATTGCTAGACCGATTTTGACGGGACTTTTTTGGCAGATAGCTGAAGTAATAAGGTGTAACTTAAACTACTTTTATTTTAGAAAAATACTTTTATTTTCTAAAAATAAAATAAAATCCACGTGGACGAAGTCGCGGGAACAGCTAGTTACAAATATATTTTATCTACAGTACCACCAGTCATAATAGACAATATGACATCAATGGATATGGTGGTGAGAGAAGGCACCAACGTCACCATGGTGTGTCGGGCCACTGGTTATCCTGAACCGTATGTCATATGGAGAAGAGAAGATGGTCAAGAGTTTAATTGCAATGGAGAATCAGGTGAATATCACAAGAAAAAAGCTGTAAACTTTGACGTTTGTATATTTATGTTTTAAAATTATAAGTCTATTATAGATAACACTTATTCATTAAGAACAAGTTAAAAAATATCCTAATCCAAATGGAGTATACCGACGAAATATATTGATGTCTTTGAATCTTAAACCACTATTTCCTTAAAGTGTATTTTAAATATTATAATAGTAAGAATGAATACTTAAAAACCATAATTTAAAGGAAATATTTTATAAAATTAAGTTTTTTTTTATTTAAATTCTCCAAATCTTCAGGATTATGACCTAATACCTTCATGTAACAAACATTACCTTTATATGAAGAAAATTTCATTCTCACAATAAATAAGCTTGTTAGTTATAATTATACTTATAAAATATACAGTACTTAAAAGTATAACTTTATTTAAAATCGTATCAGTAAAAGCATTAGCGTAGCTATGAACTTTTTTAAAAATATAATTATTTAAAAAATATTTAATGTAATTAGTAATTAAATATTAACTTATGACAAACAGCACAAACGTAGTCACACATTCCCTTTAAATGGTAACAATAGGACAATCCAAATTGTTGCTAACAGAGATTTTCTCTCATAAATATCCGGTCCAAACATTCGCCCCGGACGGTCATTATGTTGACGCTCTCGCAAAGAAACAAAACAGATGAAAGGAAATCTCTGGAGCGCGAAAGTACGGGTACGAAGATCACGTGACTGAACCCACCGGACGCCTCTCGATTCTCAAACAAATCGTCCATCCCCTACCGTAAATTTTCGATGAATAGTCGATACACTATAACAAATTGAATACAACTCAGATAATCACATTCGAGTTTAAGACGTTATAAAGATGGAATTTGTAAATTGTTAAGACATCTTGAATTCTTTATAAATTCTCTATTTGTTTCTAATGCTATAACAATATGAATAGGAACAGGTAAAATATTGTTAATTAATTAGTGTATCTAATGGTTTATTTCTTAGAAAATATCATACAAAATAAAAAATTGAGGAGTGACACCTCGATTTTTTACACAGCTATAACATATTTTTGTACAAGTTATGTGTGATTTCATAGTAACTTAATCATCATGTGTAAATAAAATAAAGTTCATTAGAATATTTATTCGGAATCCTCGATATGCAAGTCCGACTTGCATAGTATCATTTTTCAATTTACATTGGCTGTAGAAATCTTGATAGAAACTCAGTCCCGTTTATAAGCAATGTCAAGCATGTCGGAATTTTAGGAAAAGGGTAGACTAAAATGTTCATTATCTTATACGTTTGACGCTTACCGTAATGGAATAAAATTAAAACACATATTTTGTTGGCAGTAAACGTCGTGGATGGGGAGAACTTGACTATATCGAAGGTATCACGGCTACATATGGGAGCGTACCTGTGTATAGCATCCAACGGTGTGCCACCATCGATCAGCAAACGTGTCGTCCTCATGGTTCAGTGTAAGTCTATAAAATTTATATTTTTTATATTCCTAACAAAGCATACAAGCTCATGGTGTCAACCCTGATGGTGAGATGAATCCTATGACTTTTGCCTCTTACCTAGGTAATATAGTACATGAACAGCACGACGTGCACTGCATCATCATGGAACATTGATCATTCACATATGCGTTGATAGCTTGTGCTTTCAGGTGCATGGTCATGCTTCTGTACCCAGAAATTTCACCAGTACTCTGTAATATATTATTGTTAAAGATTTATTAAACATGCGAGCTATTTGCAACATAACCTACCTTTTCTTTTTGCCAGTTACTCTCAGAGCAGTCTTGCTTCTGCAGATGGTTTTATAAATAATCAATCTCACTGTCTTGTTTGTTTTACATATCAATAATTAAATTTTAAGGATGTTAGTAAAAAGGCACTTCTGTGACGATCAGGACACGGTGTATAAACACTTATGCATATTTACTGTTATCAAGCACACACGTACATGATAACAGTATGTATTAAAAGAAGAATAATAACTTTTTTAACAAAAGAAATATATCACATTAAAAAAAAAAATTCAAATATTGTATTAAACAATACAAATATTTGTTCTTACATTATACATAAACGTATATATTTCAGGTAAAACTAAGAGCCTATAGCAAAGTGCCAAAACATCTTTTTATTTCACAAAAACTATTTCCGCGCTAAATGTCCGAAACTTTTTAAATGCGATGCAATAGTAAAACTTTCAACACAAATTCCCGAAAGTTGCCCTTGTATATGAGTACAAACTACCTAACTAGTATAAATGTTTTTTAACAAACTATATAAAAAACTAGCTATTACCCGCGGCGACTGCTTTTATGTATGTTTGTCCTTTGCTATAATATATATTCACCTCAAATTTTATTAAGACCGATGAGTCGTTTAGTTGTGAAAAGGTAGGTAGACAACTGTCTACCTAAACCTGTACCTACCTAAGTACAGGTAGACTCTTTGTTACTGCTTATATATATTTTTGTTAAAGAGATATCAAGCAAGCGTAGGCTTATTTTATTTACAAATTTTAATGTTTGTACTAATTATAACTACAAATTCCTTCAAATATTTTTTTCGCAGTGGTGGTTAATGTAGACATTTTCAACATTTTTATTTTGCTATAGTTCCTTTGAATATTAGATATAATTAACATAATTAAATAAATACTTGTATTAAGCTAGACGAAAAGTTATAAGAGAATAAATGTAAATATTATCTATAATTTTGTTTCATGTTTATTCAAGAAAATATGAGGTTTTTCTTGAATAATCTCTTTTCTTCAGTTTATGATGGTTATAATCCGCAATCACTCTACCTACTTCTAATACTGGAGGTTACCCCAAAAACTATGATTTACGGTTTATTTATTTTAAATGAGTGTGTGTTCCGAAACACAATGTTCTGAAATATTGATGTAAAGAAAATAGTCAAATTATTACACATAATTTCTATGGAATATTAACAATTTCTGATAAGAATACTATTTACAAAAGTACACAACTAAAACTGCAGAATTATTATTATTATTATTATATTATTTATTAGAAAATTAAAACCAATAAATAATGTCAAAATATGTCTCACCAATTTTCAACCTTATTAACAATACAATGAACTCTATTTTTTCCAGTTCCAATACTTAATTATTCATAAATTAAACCACCCGAGGCAACAGCACTAATTAAGTGCTCCCTTAATATAGAGAAGTCCGGTTTACGAGTGCCCATTTTAAGACCATTTAAGGCAGCCGCTCAAATTATCTCGATATTACTTCCTCATCTAGAATAAAGAAACGGTGGCACAATTCCCCCGCCCCGTTAACTTGCCTCAAATTCTTCCTTTGGTAAGTACGTGAGCATTTTCACATCGTCTTTTCCTTTAGTCGGGCGTCAGCGTTCAGAAATATTATTTTTCTCGGGGTGGGCGTCGTTAACGAGTATTTACGAGGACACGGCGTCTCTACCTGACGGCGCCTTCCGCCGGATCGGCCGTAATTGCGCCCAATTAGAGCATTATGCTGACGTGAATACGGCACGGACGCGATAATAGCGATACTATCTGTTCCCATCGTGCCGCACCGCTTCTCTCCTCTCCGTACCGCATCGCCCGCCGACAGTCCATCGCTCCTCACACCCAAACCCAGTGAGACGCTTTCCTCCCCCTAATTCACATTCCGTATCTCAGCGCGTTCACAGTCCTCTCCATTTCTTATAAGATACGTGAAATGTTCACGTAACTTTCACACGATTAACCAACGAGACTTCCTTATGAATTCACTGTCAGTTTTCATTATACTTACGCGCCGAAGACAAATCTTTATGATGATATCCTTGATAATGTTATTATGTGGCAGTTTGTAGCATTAGATCACAATTCGCTCGGATATTTTTCTTCTTTATATTAGGACGTTGGCAGACAATTACATAAATAATGGTGTTAACATAGGTTACGTATACTACTCACTTATAAGTAAAATACCTAGTACATAGTAATTCCAAAGAAACTTGACGTAATATTGATGATAGACTCATCAATAGACCGTTTTTGTTATTTGTCCAGTTATTCAGCCCTAATCTTTTTGGCACTAAGTATATGTAGATATTTTACAACTTCACCTCACTATTGTTTCGTAGTTATTTTATATTCGCTCACTTTTAATTATTGAATTAAATATTCAATAATCAAAAGTGAGCTTTATTATAAAAATAAAAATGTTGTTATTAATACATTTAATTTCACTCTTAATCACAACTACATGTCCGTATACAGTATATACTGTATGCAAATACAATCTTGGACCATTCATCTTCTTTACTTCTCGTTAAGAGTACTAACTCTTTTATCTTTGTCTCAGTGATTCGCTTACTAACATATTGACCCAAGACTTGAGATATTTGAGATAGACTCACAGCTCAAATTTTTACGTTATTATTAAGATCTCTTAACAATAAGATTTTAATTGTTTAATGATATACCTTCTTTTAGTTCCACCTATGCTATCAATACCAAATCAATTGGAGGGTGCATACATTGGGCAGGATGTTACCTTGGAGTGCCATACAGAAGCGTATCCATCCTCTATTAACTATTGGACAACAGATCGAGGAGATATGATCATTTCAGGTATTTTAAGTCATAGTATATTGAACCTCATACAAGAATTTGTCATGTCGTGTATTCATACTAATATATAATTTATACTTCTTAACGTTTTATATAGTATTTAAAAAATTTGTACAAAATATAATTAATTCGTACCTTATAAACAATTAAAACAAATAATGTATATTAAAAAGTTATTCATGTTTTGTATAACAATATTATGTCTTCTTATATTTTATAGTTTAATTTAATTTAATATATACTTAAATATTTCACACATTTTCGAAGTACATTGTATATGAATCAATACAGACGACCTTTAAAGGATTAGAATTAAATATAAAACGTATTTATAACGGCTATTATTCTAAATCACTGTCGAGAAACATAATAATAGGTGCAGAGCCCTAACTGTTTGAAACTCAAATTAGATTTATTTTATGTCTAAAGTCTAGACAAATACCAAATACTTTGAAATAACAAAAATAAATATATTTTATCTTATATATAAAATTCTCGTATCACAGTTTTCGTTCCCATACTCCTCCGAAACGGCTTGACCGATTCTCATGAAATTTTGTGAGCGTATTGTCTGTTTTGTGAGAGTAGGTCTGAGAATCGGCCAACATCTATTTTTCATAAATGTTAGGGGTAGTCCACCCCTAAATTTTTTTTATTTTTAATTTAAGGCAAAACAATGTTTGCCGGGACAGCTAGTTTTACTATAAATATAATACACTTTGCATCTATCTTGTCATAAAATATATAATCTATAGAAAGTTTGTACCACATTTACAGAAAAATAACCTACAAACTATCAAATAACCAATAATAATGCTCTTACTAAACCTTATGTGGAGGAGCTCAAAAAAATTACATCCACTCTGATACACATTGCTACGCGTATATTGTCATCATTCATATGAATACGATTCATATCTTACGGTTGTTTGCCGAAATTGTATATCGAGAAAATACGTATTAAGTTTATGTAAATTCTATGACACCATCCAATTCCGGTGTTGGCTTAAACGGAAATGTTAGTGCATCTGTACATAACGCAATTTAACGACGCCGACTAGGAAACTGAACGTTGGCTCACGATGCAATTGAAGTCTAGAACGGCGACATGCATGAATGGTAATTGACAAAGAGCAAACATGGTGTACGGAAGTGCCATCACCAAGAAAAGGATACGCCAAAATGAGCAAAGCAATATGCCATTTTCTCGAAGCTACTCACACAGTACATTTAAAGCCCATAAAATATACCTGTGATATATATGTATATAAATATATCCAATTTAATTTTTATTCCAGTTTACACAAACATTTTATGTTAGCTATGTTATCTCAATACTGAATTACTCAGTAAATTCAGGACAGTTACTAATTAAAGAAAAGTGTTGGAATATTAGTTATAAGCTAATAATAGCTATAAAAATCGCTTTTATATCAAATAAGGTCTTAAATTTTAAGTGGTAGTATATATTTAATATAACTTTTTATAATTGGCTATTTTTGATAGGATGCAAAGTTTTAATTGGCTGCCGAATCGATTTGTTAAAATTTAACTCAGGACTAATTTTAATATTTACTTCTAGGAACTAAATACAACACGTCTTTAAGTGACGATGGGTACAGCCGGAAAATGAAATTAACGATTCGGAAAGTGTCATCGAGGGATTTCTCTTCATACCGGTGCGTCGCAAAGAATTCATTAGGGGAAACTGATGGACTAATTCGGCTTGATGGTATGTGAAACATTCAATTCATGCGATTCATTTAACAGTACGATCCAGTTAATTAAACGAAATAATCTAAAAAAAAATTAATCTGAAAATGAAATTGGTTAATTATAGTTTTAATTAACACAAAATATAAGTATTTGTTAACTTATGTTTATACAAAATATTGAAATTACTGCTACTATACAATAAAAAATGAAAAATCACCATTTCAATATTATTTTTAGAAATACCGGCACCATCGACAGTAAGCACAACGAGCAATTACGTCACCAGCCCTCCAAAGAGAAAAGGTAATTTCAGAAATAACGAAATCCAACTGCTACAATTGTGTTTTAAAGGAAAGGGCACTTGATGGAACTGATTTAGACATAGAAATAATTAATGTCCAAACAGAACCTCAAAGTTTGTAATGAAACCCTTCCAGGGCCGATCAAATCGGAAATTTCGGATTAATTTTTCATGATCAAATCGACACTCTGTATCAGAAAGGTTATTGCGAAATTCAGGATTTCAATTTTGGCACGTAAACCGCGATTAGAAAGGCAATGGGTACGAAAGTTGAGACAGGACCACGTGCCTTTTATACATTCATCGTGCTCGCCTGCAACCACCGAGCGAGAAAGAAAATCTGGATTTTGTATTTATTGGTTTTGCCGCTGCGGCCCAATGCTTCCGTACAATTGGGTCGTTAGTAATATTATTGTGGGAAAAACGATTTTGTTTGGGCTTTGACTTCCAATGTGCCCTCTTATTGTAATAGATTTGGGCTTTCCTTTCTATTCTTTATGACATCATATGTTTTGTTCAAGCTTGAAAGCGTCGTCTTTATGGTCTTTTAACGTTATATGAGAAATTTTATAGCATCCTATAGTTGATACGTAAAGTAATGGAAAGAAATACATGAAAACTATGATTTATCATGAGGACTATTCTGAAAAATCAGTACTGTAGCTTCTTGACTGCAGCATTATAGTAAATATTTAATTACACTTTCGTATAGGTGTTTTATATTGTTATGTTTATTTTTCTTTTGTAAATGCAATAATTGTGTTAATAAATAATTAGTATTATTGTTTATTATTGCATATAATCAAATATTATTCTATGCTTGTATTAATTTCCTCAGTAAAACTGAAGAACAGATGGAGGGACAGTTCTGCGGAAAATAGAGTACTCGGTGACTACGAGGCTGAAGAGTTGAAGGAGAATGCTGGTAAGACATGCTGTAAAATTGACTTGTTATTTATAATAGAAAAATATGTTAATATTGATAGGTTGTCTTATAGTAAATATAAAGATTATTTAAAAAGAATTGTAGATTCTTCAGCAGGATAATATATATTTATTTCACAATCTATATAAGTATATAATAAATTATCCTTACTAATATATATATGGACTATAAAATAACACATTTGCATCAAGAAAATATTACTATTTACATTATTATAATTATAAAATAATAGTCATTTTGCGACAAATGTCATGTTATTCTATTCTATACCATGTCATGTTATTCTATAAAAAAATACAAGTAAGAATTAAAACAGAACTCATCCGTCAATTGAAAATCCATCCATTTTATAACCACTTACAATATTTTTACACTATAGATAGCTGCGGTCTACTATTAAATACTAACTTAAAATATAAAGCTGAAATTATATTTCAATCAGTGTTTACATTAATGTTCAGATTTCCAGTCTACTCAGTCCTCGGGAGCCTCCATCACTCAGGGTGTATTCCTCATCATAATGGCCATGTTTATCACCAGCTGACGCCAAGGCATCGTACATATCAGTGACATATCATAGTGCCAAAACAGAACTTGCTAAACCATATAACAGCTCGTAAAAGTGATGTAATTAACGATATAATGCTGGATCTATTATATTAATAGATTTAATTGTGTTTTAATCTCAGTTCTCAGTAAGAGATTTTTTTTAATTTTTTTAATTTTTGTTTATTCATTATAAATATTACTTTTAATAAAATTGTGCTATGTCCACATGTACATATTGTGTTTAAGAAAAATCACTGTAAGGTTTGATGTTCGAGCTTATATAAATTATGTGTAAGTATATTTTCAAAATATATCTACACTAGTTCCTTTCTGCTTACGCAATATGAAACTAGGCATACCTGTTAAAAGATACTAAAATAAATATTTTAACAAGTAAGCGTAAATAAGGATGTAAATGGTCATACAGAAAGAAATATTACTTTTTCTGCATACTATTATGCATATCTAAACAGCCACCATCATTACATACCTACTTCAAACCGCAGTGGCTCTTCTAAGACCTAAATTAATAAGATCGAGTCTCAAGGTTGAAAAAGAGACCTTAAGTTTGTTATTTGTTATATGAAAATTTTGTACTTATGTAAAATAAATTTCACAATATACGCTGTAAATATTAAACTGTTACTTGATACCGAAGACTGATAGTTTTTTATGATGTACGTGCCATATCTATTAATATCATAGAATTTGCAGATTTCGAAACTGTACTAATACTACCTAATCTAGAATCAATAAGGTATGTTAAGTCAAGAACACAATATTTACGCATTGTGTGTACCTATTTCTGCCTCAGCTATTTCTGTTGTCAAGTAGAAACCCTTTTTTTAAAATGTTTCAGTACGATAGCTGATATATATCACAGTAAAAATACTAAATCCGAAGCCTATTTTATTCTTGGATTTCCCCAGACTGGTAATGCACAGTGACGTTACTATTCCGAGACTAGTATGTACCTCTAGAATTATATTTAGTGTAAATATGACAGTTACCATTACATACCATTTCCTGTCAAGTAAGTTTTAATGCAATAAAAAATCTATTATTTTCAATGTTGTGTTAATACTTATGATTAGAATGTAAAACCTAAAAAATCGCACAATGGCCATTGATATTGTAATAACGGTATATTGATTTCCAACCTCTTTCTGCGCTAAAATACTTTAACACTGTTTTATCTAAGAAATCAGAATCAAATGCCAAAGTCGGTCCCTTAAATTAGGTTCTATAATGCCCAATTTTCGGCCAAAAATTAATAACCAAAGTACATATATTCTCATTCACACTGTTACCACACTTAGTCTGTAGTTTGCAAGCATTTAAATATGAAAATATTTCTGTGGTGTCTAAAAAGACATCACTGTACTCATAGAGATATCTTGCCTATATGTTGTAACTCAAACATTCGCTGTATAGTTCATGATCTTGCCTTTTATATTCTACCTAACTTGTATATATTGTATAAATATGTGCGTACCACATCGTTGTTGAAATGTATTCATATTTAGGTATTACGAAACTTCACATTAAGTATATGTAAAAACATTTTATGCGTAGATAATACACTAAAAACATGTACATATTATTGTAACGATATAGAAGTTCAAATTTTGTTTTATTAGGAAAAGGTCGATCATATTGTAAATAGGTAGGTATACTTCAATAAATATATTTTATACCTTGCTATAGCAACGACACAAATATACAAGAACAATATTCATAGCTTGTATTCAAATAAAACTACAACGATAATCGTATTAAATTAAACCTTATGAATTTTAAAAATGAGGTTGTAATTTTTTTATTATTTTTTTTATTACACATTAAAAATATTTCCAATTGTATCTAAGATACTATTTTAAATTGTTCTATAATAATTTAAAATTAAAACTACTCGTATTTTAATGAAAATGTGTACATACTTTCCTCACATTAATTTCGTAATATTACAATGATGATTTAATGTACCTTACTGTAAATAGACTCATTAGTTCAGCAATGAAGACAATATGACATGCTTTTAAGTAAAAATATGTAACTGTGAAATACTACCTACTTATAATTATAATACACGTGAAATCAACGTGTAAACTGTCTTAATTCACTAATACTGTAATTTACTTCTATATAGCTCCTATCCTTCAAGAAATTCATAGATTTGTATTATGTGATACATATTTTGTATTATGGTTTTCTGGAAAATTCATTCTACTATGTAATTATTGAAATAATTGTGCATATATTTATATGTACAGTTATGTATATTATCCTAGCAGTGTTTCATTTGCTAGATAAATTGTATAGTAATTGTTAAAGATAGCTGACTATGTGAAATTCTAATAAAAAAGTTTTGGAAAATTATGGTGATTCCTTTGCTTATTTGTTCAGAGTTTTGTTGTACCTATTAGAGAATCCTACTAATATTGTCATTTTAAAAACTTTTTGTTTGAATAGAAGTATGAAAGGATGTTTGTTGCTTTTTCACGCAAAATCTACTGGACACATTTATAAAAATAAATACGCAGGAAGTTACGGATGACCGCTAATTTTCGATATAAACATCATCCATTTAAATGAAATATCTGAAAATAGACAATCATTATGGTTGGTTGGTTGGTTTCATTGCTTGTATCTACATACGTTATCATTATCATAGAAAAAACATTACTGCTTGAGTTACAAACATGAATACCTACACTAGTACTAAGATTTAAACTTCGTTGTATAAGGTAATTAAAAAAATAGACAATGCACTCGCCCTACGCTGTGACATTATTATATTGTGAGATCCTATCATATTAATTTTTATCAACATTTACACACGTTTTATACCCTTTTACGAGCACTTTCCATTTGTTGTTACCACCAAACCGGTCTTCTATAATATAATTATGTAAAGAGGAGCATCGGTCTGACAAAATTATCAGTGGCGTGTAAATGTACGGGAAAATGCAACTTTGTTTTTCTGTCCTGAAGGTAAAAAATTTCGATACCCAACTAGTAAAAAGTAATATATGTATAATACTGTAAGGAACTGTAATATATTATGATTATGATAGTTATGCTCTTAATTAAATACCTTAATCATGCTATTCAATGCCTACACCAAACATAAATATTACTAACTGACTTCATCAGCTATTTTTATATCAATGACGTATGTCTATTCTCGTGATAAAATTAGTCTTCACATCAAATTTCATTAAGAGCTGTTCAGACGTTTAATAGAGAAAATGCCGTAACATATTAATAAATTTTAGTGTGAATTTATGTCTGCCTTGTACTCTCTGTTTTCTTTTTTTCCGAACATCTCGTAAAATCACTGAACCGATTCATTAATGTTTAACCAGATGTGGTTTATCATAATATAGAACGTTTACAAAACGCACCCTTCACATTTATAAATGTAATACTTTCCCACAGGGTATACTAATAATATGCCTTCTGTGTGTATTTATTTTTCCATTATATTATCATTACATAGTATGAAATGAAATCGCTGTCTGTCCCTATGTACGCTTAAATCTTTAAAAATACGCAACACATTTTAAAGCGGTTTGTATTTTTTATAGATAGAGTGATTCTAAAGGAAGGTTTATATATATAATACATGTTCACCCGTGCGAAGCTGGGGCGATTAGCTAGTTAATAATAAAAATAACAATTCATATTAAAAAAATCAAAATTTAATAATCATTTATTCATGTAGGACATTTTAGCCACTTATAAATGTCAAATTATTTACATTATAATTTTATTTTTTTCCCTATCATGCAGTTCGGTACATAGATCCAAATGAAAAGAATTGACAAGAAACTCAATTGAACTACTTTTTTTATACATAGATAATTCACATAACGCGAATAGAAAATACCCAGACCAATAAGAAACTTTCATACTCATTCATAAGAATACAAATATTTGCACCGTGCAAGGAATCGAATCCTCGACCATTGGAAATAAAGCTGTGTGGTAATCTGAAGCCATCCACAAGATGGAATTACAAACAAACTCTGAGCAGTACCACGGACATCTCGTTATCACGTGACGCCTGTGATACCATTAATGCATTCCCGTTCCAGAAGACTATAGTTTTACTTTACATACATTTCTCACTCTTACAAAGAAATGGATCAAACGAACGTACCCTTACAGGTGACATTGTACAAAGTTAATTTTAAAACCATAACCACAGGTAATGAATTAATGTGTAAGACGAGAACGTTCAAACATTCGGTACTTTACGATATCTTATAAAAGAAAGTTAATTCATTTTCGTTAAAATGATTAGAGCGACACAAAATGAGCTTAATATAACATTTTTGGCTGTGGTTTTGTTTTGGTAATTACGTTCAAAATTAACGCGATTGGGACCCAGATAATTACTTTAAGTGCGTTAAATTAACTGTATTTTAACTCCCGCCACAATATAAGACCGCTTTGTTAGGTGTCTATCTCTAATATAGATAGATATCTAAATTGGTCCGAAATTATATCATTAAATGATAATTAATTATATGTATATAACATTTGTATAATTGAAGTGCTATTAATTCCATAAAATCATTTATTGTTTTATGGAATTAATTATTATTATATTTGAATTAATAGCTTTACGTGTTTATGTCTAAATGGTATCCTTATATAATATTTTTAATGCTTTCTTTAATGCTCTTATTATATTTTTGATTGTTATGTTACATGTGCATCGTGCATATGGTTAGCAGGTAGAAAATGCCGCTTGGTGTTAATTCCCCCAAATGTACTGTTACTTTTTAAATGGTATGGATTAAAATTATATGAATATATTAGTTCGCAATATAAGTAAAACCTCTTAGTTAACAGGTTCAGTCCTGGTCGTCGAAATTTGCTCATTGTTATAAACATTAATTGTAATAACCACTATTTTAATTTAAATATTACACATTTCTGACAAATAAATAATTGAAAATAACTATTTTCTGTTCCACATTTGTAGCAAAAACTTTACGTTTCCTTTCTCTATTATTACTTCAATTCCATTCCATAATACGCACAATGCTGATATTGTATTCAATAACTATTGTATTAGATAAA